CCTTAGCGCTCACTTTGCGGCGGTACTGCGGTGAACCCCTCGTACCCCCCCCCAGGAACCGGGAGAGCGCCGAAACAGCCATTCACGCGTCCTTGACGCTGTACCTTTTGTGCGCGTGTGTGTGTATGTGTGTATGTGTGTGTGCGAGGGGTGGGTGGGTGGGAAATGAAAAAACACACTCAACACGCACACGCACACACTGTGCGCGTATAGTAGTGCTTCCCCGGACAGCCATGTCAATAAATGTCCACCTTCCCCACCTTCCTGCTCCTGCCTGTTTGCCTGTCTGTCTGTCTGTCTGTCTGTTCGTGTAACCGTCTGTCGCCGTCTCTGCATGGCACACACCGTCTCCGATGAACGTAGGAGCGTTAGAGAGGTTGCGGCTGTTCTCTCGCGTCAAGCCATATTCCGCCACAGATCGCCCGCCTTTCCATTTCCACCACCACACACCATCAATGCTTTATAGAATTGCATTGCATCAATGAACACACAATCACATTAATATAATATACACACAATGTGAGAGCACCGTGGCAGATCATCTGCATTAACATGTCGTACAGGCAGCATGTACGAACATGTACGTGCAAGCATACATACATACATACATACATACATACATACATACATACATACATACATACATACATACATACATACATACATACATACATACATACATACATACATATATACATACATACATACATACATACATGCACGCCAGACGAGGCCCGACAAATGCGCCGTTAGTTGATCTCGCTACTTTAAATCAAACTGGGCACGCTGTTGCGCGCGCTGTGTACCCCCCGACCCCCTCGACCCACACCAGCAACCAGTAACTCGAACTGGACGGACATATACATACATACGGACGGACATATACATACATACGGACGGACATATACATAGATACGGACGGACAGACCTGAAAACATGCTTTGAAATACTGTTGTTGTGTAAGCGGGTTAACATTGGGTGATGGTGGGTAAGCGCACATGTTCTCTCATGAACAGATGAAGAGAGAGGCAGAGAGTGTGTGTCTGTGTGTGTGTGTGTGTGCAGATAGGCGCGGTGAAGCCGCCACACACCAGCTTTGTGTAACTTCTTTTTCGACACGGATAACGAACACTAACCGCGAACCCGCGGGCCCCCCGGGTAGAGGGCCAGAGCACTCGCTGCACCAGAGACACAAACACAGACGCGGCGTATCCCTAACCCCCCACCTTACATAACCTCGCGTATCCACCTGCTCTCTCTCTCACACACACACACACACACACACACACACACCCCACACAGACATACACACACATACACACATACACAACGCCCCACCCAGCAGCCAATCGACCCCCCGCCAGCGGTGGTCATCACATCAAAGCAAGCTCCCGGGGAAAACGAACGGCCTGCGTGTGTGTATGCATGTATGTTTGTGTGTGTGCGGGAATGGATGTGCACAGCAGCAGCGGCGGGGACGGTATGAGAGAAAACAAAGCTCGCAGGCAGAGGGGAAAGGGTTGAGGGGATGGAGGAGGCGATGCATTTGCCGCGGAAGCAGAAGCCAACCCGCATGACATAAGAGAGACATTGACATATAATATATTATTGCTATATATTATTGCTATGTAGCAATAG